TTTTTTTGACAAAGTGTCCCTACATTCTCCAGGCTAGTAGCAAATTCCTTAACTATGGTAGTCATCCCACCTTGTCTCTCATCAGCTTCTACAGTAGCCAGGACAATGGAGGACAAATCTCATACCCAGCCAGGGAGATAGCTCAGCGGCACAAGTGCCTGCCTGGCAACAGCAAAGTCCTGAGTTTGATTACTGGTAAAAAAAAAAAAAAAAAAAATACACACCGAACCCTGTTTAGGGTGAGTGTTACAGGCACCAGTCATCCCTCATGTGTCTCCTCTTGCTCTCAGGAACCAGGCTGTCAGCCACAAAATCTACCCAGAATGAAGACTGGCCACTATTCAACCAACAGAATACTATCCCACAGCCCCTGTCAAGTCTTTCTGTGGGACAGCTCCATTCTGTGTCCTCTGCTCCCTGAATGGTGGCTGACCCATTCCTCACGATGCCTGGGTTGGAACTGATCAGAGCTTCCTGCGACCTTAGGTGTGGGGAACCCATGGACACTGGAGGGTGGAGACCCAAGGTGCTTAGTAAGGGTCCTCTCACAGACTGTCTTTGTGCCTCCCACGTGCAGGGAAGTCAAGGCGTTTCCAGAACCTGGCCTGGCTTGTTTTGGGTGTGTACTGCCTCTGGTTCTGAGCTGTGAGAGGGAAAGGAAGCCAAGACAGACAAGCTGAGGCTGGCTGGGGAGTTTCCGCTGTGTCAAGAGCTGGGAGAGACTCCCAAACCCTAGCCTGTCTTCCCTGGGACATAAGGGTTGGGGTGGGGGGAAGTGTTATTTTGTTTTTTATATTACTAGGGATTGAACTCAACTCCTCGGGCTGCTAGGCAAATGCTTTAGCATTGAGTTACATCCCCAACCATTTTGAAATTTTATTTTGAGACAAGGTTTCGCTAAGTTGTCCAGACTTGCCTTGAACTTGGGATCCTCCTGCTTCTGCTTCCTCAGTAGCTGAGCTTTGTGTGCCACAGCAAAAGGCTCTCTCTCTCTCTCTCTCTCTCTCTCTCTCTCTCTCTCTCTCTGTCTCTCTGTCTCTCAACCCCCCCAAGGTCTCAGAAATGTAACCTAGGCTGGCCTCAAACTCATGATCCTCCTGCCTCAGCCTCCCAAGTGCTGGGATTACACATATGGCCTGGCACCTGCCTGCTTTTAAACAGGTATAATTTCCACACAGTAAAATGTGCCCTTCTTAGTGGGCAGTAAGTGCTCAACAATACAGTCTTCTAAACACCAGCACAATCAGAATCAGACATCATCCTAAACATTACCCTCTGGCCCATGTGTGACAGATTCTCAGCCCCTAGATAATCACTGATCTTTGTGTTGGTTCTTTTTTGTGTGTGTGTTGGTTCTTTTGCACTTACAGAAGGTCATAGAAAATGAAATCACAGTGCCCTCTGAGTCTGGGGTTTTTATCAGATTTTATTGGGAGACTGGCTTTTTTCACAAACAATGTATTTGAAGTTCACACGCACTGTTGCCTGTATCAGGAGCTCACCCCGTTATAGGTGAATAACATTCCATTGTGTGGATGGATCACAGTTTCTTTATCCATTCACCCACTGAGGACATGTAGTTTTTGTTTTGGTTTGGCTTAGTTTATTTCAGGTATTAGGAACTGAACCCAGCGACACTCTTAACACTGAGCTGCACTCCCTGCCCTTTTTATTTTTTGAGACAGGTTCTCAGTGTGCACCCCAGGCTGGCCTCAAACTCGAGATCCTCCCGACTCAGTCTCAGAGTAGCCAGGATTGCAGACGTGCACCCAGCAAGGACATGTTGGTTTTAACCCATGTTAGTAATTACAGAACCTCGGTTAAGATAAAGCCCTATTGTTATGAGGAACCATTTCGTTTTTTGGTGTTTTTTTTTGTTTTTGTTTTTGTTTTTTTTTTTTTTCGGAACTGGGGATCAAACTCAGGCCCTTGTACTTGCCAGGGAAGTGCTTATTCTACTGAGCCATCTCCCCAGACCCACCATTTCATTTTAATGGAACATGGGGGTCCCCTGAGGTATGGGACAGAGATTCCCGTGGCTGACAGAATTTTGGAGACTGAGCAGCAGGTAAAGAGGTGAAGAGAAGCCAGGGATGGTGGCACACACCTGTAATCCCAGAACTCAGGATGCTGAAGCAGGAGGATCACTGTGAGTTGGAGCCCCACCTGGGCTACAAAGTGAGTTCAAGACCAGTCTGAACTGCATAGTGAAAACCTGTCAAAAAAAAAGACCAGTAATGCCAATTAACTATGACGACCTGAGTCACACTGCACACAAGCTGCTTACCATAAGCACTCAGCATGAACACGTCAACGTTCCCCTCACTGGGAGACCTTCAGCAGGTCACGTGATTGCTCAGTCTCCCCAGCGCAACTCAGGCTGCAGCCACGGCCAGTTATGAACCGAACCGTGTGGTACTGACAGAGCAGCCCCAACTCTCAGGGTGGTTCTGCAAGTCCATGAGTTAACAGGGGCTCCGTCGGTAGCCCTTGCCCGGCATGCACAGGCCCTGATTTTCATCCCTAGCACTACAAAGCACAAGCAAAGGACAAAAACACAAGAGTTAATACTCATAGCACTCATGGAACAAGATTGCCCATGTCGTGTTAGCTGTTTTTTCTTTTTAATTTTTTTTTTGGGGGGGTCAGGAGTTATTTTGTTTTTTTCAGACAGGGTGTGACTATGTAGCAGAGAGTAGCCTTGAACTCAAGAAGAGCCTCCTGTTTCAGCCACCTGGGTGCTGGGACTGCAGCTGTGGGCCACTACATCAGCTTCACTGGTATTTTCTTTCTTTCTTTTCTTTTCTTTTCTTTTTTTTTTTTT